GTAAATCCGCGAGTTAAACCCGTATATCTTTGGCATCGATCGCGAGTCCCCCTACCTGCTGCTTCTCTTAACAGTCCCTGTGTTTCTTTTAGATATCATAGACAACACAATGATAAGCACTAAGGCACATGCACAGTCTCGAAGCACGAATACACGGAGCAATTTTCTCCGCAACTTGTCTCGCAACAACGTTGCGACACAAGCAGTGTGAAGGTGCTGACCGACACGGTGCAACATGCACTGCATGCAACATTGCACGCAACAGGACTGTTGCTGCGTATCTACTCCAAACTTGTTGCACGCAACTTTGCATGCAACAAACCTGAAGTTGAATCGCGCTCTACTCAAACAAATTTTATCATGTGAACATGGCTGCAACATTACCTCCAACGTTTTGAAATTTCCTGCCAATCAGCTTGTACCAAATTTATAAATTTATATAGGCTGACACAAGCGATGTTGCGTGATTTCGTTGCAATGTGTGTCACCCCGATTTAAATTTGTTGCTTGCAATGTTGCACCGCGTGTCAGCACCTTAAGAGCATTGCAGCTTGTAATCTACAGCGCAATTTGAAAGAATGTTGCGAGACAAGTTGCAGCAATAGCTGCGAAAAGTAGAATTCGTTTCCACTTTTGGGCAACGATTGCATCTTTCAAACACTCTTGCAAATTGTGTCGCAACGCTGTTGCGAGACAAGTTGCAGAGAAATTTGCACGGTATAATCGCAACTTCAGGCACCTTAGAGCGTGCATTGTGTGCAAGCGTACTTTCGAGTCAGACAGGCGAACCAATCACCATTGTAGCAGATTTCCCAATGGAATTATAATCTTGTCCCACAAACAACTACTCATTATCTGTTTTAAAGAGTACTACAAGGACTACGAGGCAATTTTATATTCTTTTCGCAGGACAGTAAACTATTGAAACACAGAATCAATTTTCAATATCTTTATAATCAATTTTCCGCAATCAGAGTTTTAAGTTCTGAGATATTCAAGACAATTCGTTAAGCTTGGGGGACATAGCAACGGTAACTAAGAGGAGTCAGAACCATGAACAATAGCCTTTTCTTTCCTAGTACCCGTTAGTGAAGAGTCGCAACATGTGCATATGTTGTTTATAGTAATGATTTTACACCGTGAAAAGATGAAAAAAACTTAAGTAAATAAAGTAAGTTTTTTCATCTTTTCACAGTGTAAAATTTACCCTTTTATCATTACTGTTTCATTAGAAACACCGACGCAGCTCACACTAGTTTTTAGCTAGTTATCTCTTCKTATGTTGTTTATAGTTATGTTTGTCCATGTTACAAGAGGAGATGAGGCTATCAATAACAGTATCAATCAATTACAAGAGTACAGTAGCGTAACACAAGGGAAACCGAAAACCTGTTTGTTATAGAAGGATGCACGTATTAAACAGGGTGCGCCAGCACGATGAATGGATCTGAAGCAACTTGAGCTGGAATCATGCCTAACAGGAACTCCGGTCACACAATGTATTTCAAAATTGTAAAATCGTATTGGAAGATTGCCATCTTTCTGATTTTAGTGGAGTATAAAAGATTTCTTGTTCTTCTTTTGCTCTGTCATAAAATGTTTTGTTATTTGAGCATATACGCCCTGCACTACGGGAACCTGCGCCTCCGCAGGAAGACAGCTAGATCTTTTAGTCGTTATGATACACTTAACAAAATTACTCGATTCTGATTGGACAAGGGAAGTACAATTAAATCGTTAATAGTACCCAGTTTAATTAAAAGTTGCTCAATTTTGTTGAGTGTATTAGTAAACAAAAAATCGCACGATCTTCTCTCTTACTCGTGATGTTTTGAAAGTTCTTGTGATGGTCCAGCCATGTAAGGGGGCAGGAACAATACAATCGTTTTACAAGAAAAATAATTCAATTTCCGAGAGCAAAGGAGTTTATTCCCTGAGTTTTAATGTTCTGCCATCTAACCACAGGCAGACCAAGCTGTATTATGGACGCCGGCACGTAATGGTGCAAAGCCTCTATTCCGAATAGTCCCTTTTCTCATTCCGTAAATACCGCTGTGTTTTAAGACACAAGACTCATGTCCGCAGGCTTAGCCTCGCTTAAGAGTAAGTCATTTGCAAATGTCAATATGCAACTTGAACAATACCAATGTTTTGAAATCCCACGGACTTTTAATGGCTTCTGTGAATAGCTGACTTATAAACAATGCTAAGCCTGTGCAAATGAGTCTGTGGTCTTCAAAAACAGCGGTATACATTGAATGTAAAACTGGTGTATTGTACTCGAGATCGTGCGATTTCCTATACTAACCACATTCGGTTCAGTTTCAGCGAACAGGAGATGATGTCACATCCAGTCATACCAATTTAGTATCTTGAATGAACCCCGCTTTTGCTACCAATTTTTTTGCGCATCGCATATCGCATCCTATCTTTCTTTTTTCAAAGTTCAAATTGGATTTGCGTTCATAAAGTTGGATACGCGTTCATCCAATTTCGCCACACTATCGTGAATTAAACTTGCAAAATTCTAGCGAGCATTCTCGTGGATACTTCCAGGGAATGTAGAGTGCCCCGCGTGCAATAATCATCTCATATTAAAGTGAGGAATCGTGTCGAACTAGACTGGGACAGGCAAATTATTTATAAAAACATGCATAAATTATTACTAATGAGTTTATATATGTTATCATTAAATATTTCAAATTCTATGAACTTTGTTTATCGGAGTTTATTAGTACTTTCTAGACGTTACACTTCAATACCATCACCTGTGATAACAGTGTCTATCTACGACATATTTCTACCGCCCCCTCGATCCTGGGCCGCTTGGAGAAAATATGTTTATTTACTACGTCAATCATGAGGGTATTTGACCCCTGAAGTTTTGTTCTGACCTCTATTGACGTATTTACTTTGATCAGGGGAAATAACTGAAGCATTAAAAATATTTGAAAACATCATCAGACAGTGGTTTTTGATTGTCTCATTTGATCAATATTTGATCAACTAGGCATAAAAAAATACCCTTAATCGTTCCAAGGCTTTCAAACCACGTTAAGTTTATATCTGAATGAATAATTTAAGATTTACCTGTGTATGTGATCGATGTTTGATAAGATAAAAGCCTTGTTAAGTGTTGGATTGAATAGCGTGACTAATAAATCGACAGCCCACACACCCAAGAAAACCCAAATCATCCGTTCCAACTCTCTGATTGGCTTATATAGTGTAGTATATTTATATGAACCAATCAGAATTGTTCAACAATATAAGAAATATATGCTTAGCGGTGTGCTACTCGAGAGAGAAGATATTCTTCATCATGGCGGAGCAAGAAAGTCCAGAATATGGCACAGGGGATTTCGTCCTTTTGGACGAAATCACTAAATCTGCCTTCATGGAAAACCTTGACACTCGATTCGAAAAAGAGCGAATTTACACCTACATTGGCGAGGTAGTAGTCTCAGTGAATCCTTACACGACTTTAGATATTTATGGGCAGGATAAAGTCAAAGAATATCGTAAATCAGAAATGTACGAAAAGCCACCTCATATTTTCGCCTTGGCCAATGCTGCCTACACTACGATGAAGAGAAACTCTGAAGACAGTTGCATTATTATCTCTGGTAAGCTTAATGTTCTACTAAATCATTCCACTTCATTAGAGAAATTATCATTGACTCTCATTTTACAGTTTTTTATTTCTTATTTTGTATGTTTTGAACATCACTTTTTGRCACTTTGACCATAGTCATTTTTGTCTGAAGGTGTCAATAAATCACACTTCAAATTAACTGAATTTTAAATTTGAGAACCAAAACTTGTCACGAAAACTTTTTCGAATTTTATTTGAATAAATATTTATATTGGAGTCTTAATAACGTTATTTTATGATAAATGATAAATTGCCCTTTGAAACCTTTACAAATTTCACTCTGTCAGGTGAGGACATTTTGTATTTCTAGGGAATATTGAATACTGAAATGCTGAATATCTGTGATTTTGTGGTGTATCCTATAAGCTTAATTTGTTTCCATGTTTTAAGACCTGTAGTTTGCATATTTAAGCTCATGACGGTTTTTGTACATGAAAGAATTCTTTTAATTGGAGTAATCCTTTGATCCCAAGCCACAGACACTTTGAATTTAACAGTTTTCAAACTTTTTCAAAAAATTAGTAATACTTAAAAATACTTTCAACTTTTAAGTTCTTTCTTGATTAGAGAATTGAAATGAATAGAATGTTTTCTTACGTTGCAACCCCATGGTGTGAATTTTGAATTTGGAACTGGAGTTGCTATGGAGAGGAGTGAAATGACTGATAAGAAACAATGAAAGAATTTTGAAAACAATAGGTATTTTATGCATGGTTCGAGGTATTATTTAGGCAAAACGTCAATACGACGTCATCATTCTCGAAAATAATTCGCAAGAAATAATAAGAATTAAGTGCAAATGCATACCAATAAGTATTAAGAATTTTTTTAAATATATATTTTTTTAAATGACTAATAAATTTATTAGTAAAATTGTTGTATCTAGTGAAAATGTTGAAAGATTTGATTATAAATCTTATTACATAATATCATGGTACAACGGTTTTGTGTGTTTGGGAAAACGTTTTAAATTTATGGTAAATTTTACTCTTAATATATTTTTGCTAAAATAAATCATGGTGCATATATAACTGCTTGTAAGAGTAATTCATAAGGATACTAACATTTAGATGCCTTGGTTGTGAGCACATTTTAATTTACATTTTAATGAAAAATTCATATATTTAATTTACAAAACTGACAATGATACTTAACTACTGATACGTAAATGATGATCTTTATTCAAAATCAAAAGATGAGAATATGTGGACYGCTTAGCACTTATGAAATACAAGGTATAGAAATATAGATAAGTTATAGTGCTTCGGAATGAGGTTATTCTGGGCGAAAGACCCTTGGAAATAAATTCGGAAAAATTAATTTCCGACCTATTTTCCTACCTAAATTTCGACATAAATTAATTTCCGAAAAATTAATTTCCCACCGAGGTCAGAAATTAATTTTTCCAAATTTAATTCCAAGGGTCTTTCGCCCAGAATAACCTCATTCCCAAGCACTATAACTTATCTATATTTCTATATCTTCAAAATCAAAAGCTAAGAGTACCTTTATGATAATAGTTCACTTCAATAAAACAGCTCAAATTTAAATATTTTGTTTTACCTGATAAAGAAATTTAGTAATCAAGTGTAATGGGAAGCACGGGTGGTGTAGCGGTGTGAGCGCTCGCCTCTCATCAATGCGACCCGAGTTTGAGTCCCGCCGGGTTCGGTGTTGTATATGAGTAGAGTTGTTTGTTGGTTCTCTCCTGTGCTTCGAGGGTTTTCCGGGTTCTCCGGTTTTCCTCCCTCCGCAAAAATCAACTCCTAAATTCCAATTCGATCATGGAATGAGGGCCACAGGTTTGTTAGCCACTGGCTATTAAGTGCTACCCTCGTGAAAAAAAAAAAAAAAAAAAAAAAAGGACGATAATGCATGATTGAAATAGCACCCAAAACCAAAAACAAAAATTATATATGTACAAACTAGTTTTACATTTTACAGTGAGTACACCCAAACTGTGAACACTTTGAGTTTTCATCACTTTTTTTTAAATGTATGCTGTAAATCATCCCTTGATTGGAAATAAGATTTATTTTAAACACTATTAGAACACAATGATCCATGCTGTGTTGTTGAAACACTAGTATAGAAAGTTCAGGAAATAATATAAATCATTGTTTATGGTTTGAGTGTCCTTTCTTTCATTTCTCAAAAGAATTTTGTTAAACAGTAAATGGAATAATAATTGTTTAAGTTATTTTCAAATCTTATTTTTCATTATGTAGACAATACTTTTATGATATAATTGACCCTTCTCAATATTGACCTTTCTTTCATGAATGCAAGGCTAACTAGACAACGAAMAAAAACCAGCCTTTTTCAATGGAATGTGTGGCATTTCCTTTGTATAATTTTAATAATTTTAGTTTAACTGTTTTAAAAATTAAAAATAAGGCAYGGTGGTTGCACACAAATATTATAAATATCTGGCCCATCCTTATAAAAAAAAACACACTGTCTGACCTTTTAATAGGGTCTTCCTAATGTGGGTGGGAAATTTAAAGGCAGCCATGTGGCTGCGTTAACACTWACAAGCTTTCTGTCTGAGTCAAACAAATTCATGAGTTTCAGGCTTGCCTCATGGCAAAACTGATCTTAATCCTCTTTCCTAAATTCATGAACTCTATTTTATATGATATGCATTAACCCATTATGCCCTTGTCTGGTTTTGGCCAACCTAGAAATATTTTTAAGCTAATTGAAACCAAAACCACAGGTGTGTGAAATTTTCAAAGTTAAATTTAATTTCCTCAATTTTATTCATCCCTTTTTTCCCTTGTTTTTAAATTCGTAGGTGAGAGTGGTTCTGGGAAGACAGAAGCCTCAAAAATCATCATGAATTTCATCGCTGCCATTACAAATGTCTCAAAACAAAAAGAAATTGAAAGGTAAAAGAATAAATATTTCATTTTTAGACAAGTATTAAAATTCAATTATTGATCAAAACTATTTATGAAATAATGTACCTTTATACACATCGTTGTTAAGATCAGCCTACAGCAGCTATAGATGGTTAAGCAAATTATTAATGATAAAGCTAATGGAATTTAATAATACTTTTCTCATTTTTTTAAATCAAAAGCTCTAATGGAAATAAGATCATTCAAAAGAACAGTAGAGCACAATAATAAGTGCAGGGCTTAGATTGAAAAGTATAAGACTAGTTAGCATGCAGAAGGGTTAAAGTAAGGGAAGGGGGATGCTAAAATGTAGTGGATATGAGTAAGAAGAAAATCAGCATCCCACTATTTAATTCATGAATAAGGGTGTGGTTACTAGTAAAAGAAGGATCAAGGCATGCCAAAGTCATGGAAATAGAAATATTCTTGCTTGTACAGTGCCTAWGGTATTTTGATTGAATAATACTTGAAATCATAACTGTCTTGTTGGAGTAAAATCAACTACATGGTAAACAATCAACCACATTTAACTTATTCAATTAATTGGGTCTTTCTTGGTGTAGAAARCTTTATTGTATTCCAGGTTAGGGTTTTTATTTTGCAGGGTATATTGAAGAAATAGAAAACATGTGCGCATGCTGTGTGCAGTCATAGAGCACTGGGGTTGGAAGAACACGAGGAGAAGGTTAGGAGAAGCATGACGCATAGCGGAGTGCTTCTCAACACTTCTCGAGTGTTCTGCCAATCCCCAAGTGCTTTATAACTCCACACAGCACAGCAAGCAAGTTTTTTATTTCTTTTATAAAATACAAATTACAATAGCCTTTATTTTAGATACAGTGTAGTAATGATGCAACAGAAAGTGCGTGCAATGTGCTCTCATAAAGCAGGTGCTGCAAACTAATAAGAATGCGACATTCACAACAGTTATTTTATAATGCTGAATTGTTAGCTCCAAATTCATTATCCTCGGCTATTGTTTTATTATCTTTATGCTTTGGGTGCCTTGCACATGTACATGCAGCACCATAAGAAAGAGCCAATCAATTTATCAGTTTTGTCTCTTAGTCTTTAAATTTTAATCTACGATTTCTTATAGCATTTTATCATTTCGTTTATTTATTGCCTTTCAATTCTATACTATTTCTAAGTCTCAAATATTTCATGTAGTTAGGGTGAGTTAATTTTTATATTTTTATCAATTTTGCATCTCGTAGGGTCAAAGATATTCTCCTCAAATCTAATGTCATATTGGAGAGTTTTGGGAATGCCAGGACAAACCGAAAYGACAATTCCAGTCGTTTTGGAAAATACATGGACATTGACTTTGACTTCAAAGGGGATCCYATTGGGGGACATATTTTCAACTATCTACTGGAAAAGGTATTCAAACAAAACAAGTATACAAAGCTATTTCAAAAACGGTTGGGGAAGTTTTTGTTGCATATGTATGTAGCTTACTGAGCTTGAAACATATTACATTCATATGTAAATAATKTCAGCAAAGAAAAGAAAAAATATGCAGGAAAAATCAGGCTTGGCAACACTGAACAGGCAACATTTAACCTTCATCAACCTTCTGCAATAGCTACTAAACTGCATTGGCCTTTTCTTTAGCACTGTAGTAAATTAAAGTCGAAATCTGACGACATTGGACGCAATTTAACTTGCTTASACCTTAAACTAAGGAGAGGATAGCTCCTCTACACGTCAATAACTTGCATATTCACGAATTATTGACAATTTTTATAGAAAAACTAGTAGATTTTTGAAAGTCAAGTGTTTAAAAGAAACTTCTCCAAGTAAAAATTTTACCAATTCTAATTCTTGACAAGCAAAAAACAATAATAAGTCTTAAATAATAACCTACTTACTTGGTACTCATATTCTTGACCTCAAAATTAAAGTGGACAGAGGAGGAAAAGTGAAGAGCAGTCTTCATAACCTTGTGCCTGCCATGCACCATTTTCTTCATGCACGATTACAAGTGGGTCATGGGATTCCTGTGGATCAAAATATGCAAAACTCCCATAATGCACTTTTCGTCTTTTTTTTTCTCAAAATATTTTAAACTAAGATATCATTTAATTTTAGTCAAGAGTCGTTAAACAACAACAAGGAGAAAGAAATTTTCATTCATTTTACCAGGTAATTGTCGTTGTTGCCAATATTATATCATTATCATTATTGTCATTCATTATATGTGTATATATATATATATATATGTCATTGCCATTAATCACGGTTGTTGTAATCATTTTTGTTGTCAATATCGTTACAATACGTTAATTATTTATTGATTAGTTATTCTACACGGCAACGTCTTTGTTTTAGCTTCTAGACGGCGCACCAGATAAAACTCTCCAAGAATATGGCTTGAGCGGAGATCCCATGGACTACTACTACACCAAGCAAGGCAAGCAAGTCAAGGTAAGGAAATAAATTCTTTTTGCTCTCAACCACAAAATAACTGACAAGAAAAAAATTMTAATGCGTTTACCACTCTTGGGTGGACGGCTTAATGCCTAAAGCCCCGTTTACACTGGCGAYTTTTGTGGCRATTTTTGTGGCAATTTTCGGAAACATGAAATATTTTCGGTCTCATCCTTCAAAAGAGACTTTCGTCTAGGAAAATCTTGGTATCCTGAAAAAAACTTTACAAGTAAATTTTTTACCATTATTTATTATGGACAAAATAGCAAAAAAAATCGCAGCAAAAATCGCCGCAAAAATCGCTTTAACAGACCTTGCAACTCAACTGCGGATAAGGCAGCCGGTAGATCGAATTAGAATAAGATAGGTTTACTCTGATACTGATAACGATTTTGTTTGCTCCTTTAGAAAATTTTCAGTGACAAATTTCTTTTGTTTTTAGATATCGACCATCAACGACCAGAAACAATACRAAGTCAACTGCGATTCTATAAAAGCTGTTGGCTTTAGAGGAGAAGAACAGAAGACTATCTGGCAGCTGGTGGCAGCAGTTCTTCACYTGGTATGATTCTAGCCTGATATGCACGGACGTATTCATGGGTGTACTGGGGTGCCTGTAAATCCTCCCCATCGCAATTTTTATTTAGATCAGTTTGCGGCGAATATAATATTGAATTGAATAATTCTATTTTCCGTTCATTGCAGGGAAATGTTCGGTTTGAGGTCGAAGACGACGACTCTGTTGTCATCAAAAACAGGGATGTGCTAAGAATCATTGCGGGTCTACTGGGAGTCAGGCCATCGGCACTGGAGAAAGCCTTGTGCTTTAGAGTGGTAGCAGCGAAGGGAGAGGTAATGGAGAGAGGGCACAGCAAAGAAGAGGCGTCTCATGGCAGGGATGCGTTTGCTAAGGTATGCTTTGTCGATTATTGTTGTTCTGAACTAAATGAATGCCATGCTCTCTCAGGAACCGCGGAGCGTAATTCTGAATGGGTGACCGCATCTAGGGGTGTTTGGGGGTTCGGTATGCCCCCCCCCCCTCTTCCGAGAAACAATTTTGAAATTGAGAAACTCGGAAATGCGATTTCCAGTGTTTTGAGAGGCATTTGCAACATAGTTAACATGGTGGCAAAATAYGACACTGTTTCTCATAATTTGTTGCCTCGACTCTATTTGTACCCATAGGCCATCTACGATCGCTTGTTTACTTGGATAGTCAGCCGCATTAACGAAAGCATAGAGATTCGTGACAAACAACACCACGGCAAGTGCTCCGTCATTGGTGTTCTTGACATCTATGGGTTCGAGATCTTTGGAAAGAACAGTTTCGAGCAGTTGTGCATCAACTACTGTAACGAGAAACTGCAGCAGCTCTTCATCGAACTTGTGTTGAAGGAAGAACAGGAGGAGTATCGCCGCGAGGGAATCGAATGGGAAGATGTAAGTAAGAAAGAGTAAMATTTATAACTATGAAAAACTCAGACTGTACTGATGTGACGTATATGACGTGACCGTGTCCGTACCGTGCTCGAGAATTTCGAGTGGATGTCAGTAATATTACACRCTGTAGCTGATTATCATCTTTTCCGTACTGTGAAAATCCCCGATGGTGGATGCCTAAAAGRGGTTCTACTTTTTCAACAAACATTTCTAATGAGAACAAATTTGGCTGCACGTAAGAACGTTCCACCATGACATATYGAGATGGAATAGATTCGTGTGATTCTATGTTTTTATGAAATGCCACACAAAGAGGCTTCAGTCGTTCCTTTGTAAGAACTTATTGCCGCTTGGCTTTCCTCGCATTTCTAATTCCTCTTTCTAAATTAACGTTTGGTTATTGAATTGTAATTCCTTGGTCCATTGCTATAGAATTTAACGTTAAACACCTCACTTTTCTCCATCCAAGGTCGATTATTTCAACAACAAAATCATCTGCGACCTGATTGAACAAAACCACAAGGGAATCTTTGCTATCATGGATGAAGGATGCTTGAACGTTGGAAAGATCACCGACCAGGTAAAACTTGTTAGGCAAGGATTAGATCGCTTTTCTAATTCCTCCACCCAGGCGACTCCACGCGCACGCGCAGCACCGGCTTTCTCTTGTTTTGACTACCGTTCGTTAAACTTACGACGGATTGAGTTAGTGACACTTTTCAATGACCCAAAGTAAAAATGCCGGCATCTGAACACTTAGATATCGAAGAAGTTCTATAACCCACGTGGAGCTATCAAATAGTCCGGCCCTTTCAAAATGGTCAAGGAGAAAGCTTTTCCCATCCTTAACTAATGAGTTTCGGCAAATCGTTCTTGCCTTTTCGCAACTGAGCAAAGTATATCTAAAAAATACTAAGGTTAAGCCCTGCTTTCGATCAGTATTCCAATCACCACATAAAGTCTAATCGATTGTGTCACCTCGAACAAGAATATAAAGGTTCAGCAGCCTTTGCACAGTTAGCAATAAAATCTTTTTGTTCATACAGATGCTGCTACAGACTATGGACCAGAAACTTGGAAARCACCATCACTACAAGAGCAGACTTGTGAGTATCCTTCGTCTCAAAAACGACATAAAATAAAACGTCAATTTAAAATATATATATAATTATCTACACAGACTGACCCCTCTGACAGAAGCATGGAATTCCATCGTGACTTTGGCATCAAGCATTTTGCTGGCGATGTTGTGTAAGTATCACTTGATGTCCCATATGGACTCTTGCTTGTTAAACCGCAAAGTCACGCCCGTCACTAGAAAAGCGAATTAAAATCAAAGCCCAATTTTATGTCTCTTTTAGTTATGATGTCAATGGTTTCTTGAAGAAAAACAAAGATACACTGTATCAAGATTTCAAGCGTCTTCTTTACAACAGGTAGGCAAATTCATCCAATTTAATTGTTTGGGAAGCTACACGTTGTTGATCCTACTTTTGACTTTTTACTGTCCTACTACTCCCAACATGCATTTTGCCTCTTCAGATCCCCAAACAGCAGTCTCAACTTACRCTAAACGGTGTAATGTCCGGGAAGAAGGACGAAAAATACCCACGGCTTGTTGTTTACCCCAAACCACAGAAAAACCTTTCATTAGTGCAGTTTTCGTATGACTGTGAAAAATTCACGGCACGAACACGGCCATGACACGGCAAGGGATACGCCAGACCAATCACATTGCACGAGAATTTACTCTCCATCCAATCMAATACCCGGAACACGGCATAAACACGGCGCGGACACGATCACGCCAAGGTCACGGCAATGCCAGACCAATAACATTGCGCGTAAAAAAATCAGCCAATTACAATTCTAGAAAGCATCACCGTCACGGCACGTCATGCTTACGGCACTGAGCTTTTCACAGTCATACGAAAACTGCTCTATCTAGTTAAGTATTTCGTGGCCTCACTTTGAATTTCTTCAAGCGCCCAAGATTTCTTCTTCAAAATCGCCAAATTTCACGAACATCAGACTTCGAATTAACTGTGCTGATTTCAAATTTTCAGTGAACACGAGGTGTTACAAGAAATGTGGCCTGAAGGTCAAGAGGCCATCACAGCGGTACAGAATGTTTTTTTAGTAAAATATTTCAAAATATTTGTTATCTAATTGTAACACGCGAATTGCGTCCTGATCAGGGGCTGGTCCGATCCGTCTTCAAAAAGATGATGTAGAAAAGAAGGATGACGACGCAAACTCGTGGAAGGTCTGAGGATCAAACCCGTGACTATATCGATGTGATGCGCGGCATAACACGTGACGTGCTAGCTTCCTTGTTATAGACTACGAAACTCGAAATATGATTGGTTTATAATTTGTGACTTGCTCGCTTCCTTGTCTTAGACTACGAAACTCGAAATATGATTGGTTTATAATTTGTGACTTGCTCGCTTCCTTGTCTTAGACTACGAAACTTGAAATATGATTGGTTTATGATGTGACTTGCTAGCTTCCTTGTTAAAGACTACGAAACTCGAAATATGATTGGTTTATATTTTGATTGACAGGTCACCCAACGTCCTGCTACCGCTGGGACTTTATTCAAAAACTCGATGCTGGCTCTGGTGGAGAAACTCAAGTCCAAGGTCATTATAACAAATTTGAGTTTAATCTTATCCTAAAAAATCAATAGTTTYGAGACGCGAACTTACCGATTTATTGTTTACTAACAGAGACCTTTCTATGTACGCTGCATCAAGCCTAATGACATCAAATCATCTTCTCTGTTTGATGAAAAAGTCGTTGGCAACCAGGTAAGAAATAGTTCAAATAACAGCCCTTTTGATATTGGCTTCTGTTATTATCATTGTGGTTGCTGGTACTACTGTTGTTGCTGCTCCTTGTTGTTACTGCCATTTGCGGCATTGCTGTAGCTGTACGTCGTTTCTGAAACTGCTACTATATTGTCGCTTATGCTGTTGTCGTTGTTGATTCTGCTTCTCAGCCGGGATTGTTGTAATTACTGCAACTCATTTYGTAAAAGACAGAGTGAATAATGGTTTAAAGATTTTGGACCCGATTGATTGTTTTTGCTATGATGTTTTTATTCTCCTCGTTGTTGACTTTTGTTGTTTATGATGCTACTGTTTTGTTGTTCAGTTCCGATGTTACTCGTGCCCCACCTGTTTCTATTCTTCCTGATGTTAGTAATGTAGTCTTTGTTATTTACCGTTGTTGTTAGCTGCTGTTGTTGCAGCTACTAGTGTTATTGCCCTTGTATTTTCACCTCAGTAGTCTTACGCACAAATACTCTTCTCCTTAAAAGGTTGACTATCTTGGTTTACTGGAAAATGTTCGCGTGCGACGAGCAGGCTATGCATTCAGGACGCACTACAAACGCTTTCTCACAAGGTAAGTCAGAATCAGAAAATAATAGTTGCTTGACATTGAGCAAAAGTAATCGAAATGGTGCTCAAACTGTAAGAAAATTAATTGCGGAGATGTATACGTATGCAATTTTTTCCTGATAAACAGCTGKCTTACATAACTGTGAACCTTCAACGGAATCTTGAGTGCATCAGTAGGAATCACCGGCAACGCAAATAGTTTAGAACGTCCGGCACCACATGCTACCGCAACTTGGATYGGTGATGATTTTGAGAACTAAACTTGCAATGATCATGTGTGTATATTTTAAACTCACCYACTCCTTCTGTGCCCTAAGAGGAAGGTGTAAATCTTGGTAGAAAACCATCAGGCATCTTTAATAGAAATGGGATCCTAACGGTGTTCTACAGGGCTCACCCATAGGTCCACATTTTTTGGTTCTTCTGATTTTCATTCTTTTCTATAAAGGTACAAAATGAATTGTGACGAAACTTGGCCAAACTATCGCGGTAGCGACAAAGATGGCGTGAAGACTCTCATTGAAGATATGGGCTACTCTCGAGATGTCAAATATGGAAGGAACAAGATCTTCATTCGAAGTCCCCAGACCATATTCGCATTGGAGCGAGCGAGGGCAGAGAGGATTCCACCAATGGTAAACTTCCTCCAAAGGGTAGGTATCTTCGTACTCGGAGCTAAAAGAAGATCAGTAGCTATAATTAAATAGTCGCATGAATCACACTCCATAACATTTGAGAAAGGAAATATTTAAGACCCAGGCTTTCCCCTTAGATTGAGGAAAGGAGATCGCAAGACGCAAGCGATATTTGTCTCTTGACCTTAAAGCGCGCGATTTTCTCACGATTTGTAACTTTAAGTCGCCTCCTTGGGAGACAATTCGGATGTTTCAATCTCCGTTTTGGAATTCGTTTCTAAATTCTTACAACAGACCGTGAAGGACATTAACGTCATTTGTTTTTTTTTTTAACAGTTGTGACATAAACCTCAGTTGTGCTGCTTAAAGAAGCCATTTTACCATTCTTAGTTATTACCGCATCATTTGTTTGAAGGATTCCTATAACGTTCTTTTTGGCATAAAGACCTACTGCTATTGTCCTATGYGTTACGGCAACGCCTTTTAAAACAGAACTGAGATAAAACTAACTGAATCGGGTTGACTCTCTCATTACATGTATCTRATAGATACGTTGAATGATAGATTTACTGTATTCTTGAAATTCKTAGTGTTGGCGTGGAGGTCTTGCGAGAGACAAAGCACGCAAGATGCGTTCTACCTACATGATCATGAACTGCTTCAAACGGCATCAACAACGAAGATACCTGGAGGAACTCAGGCAAAGATATCGGTAATTTTCAGTTCTTAACTTTATGATATAATCCAATACTATTATACTGACTTTTGATACCCAGGAGACGGGATCGGTGTATTCATATGGATAGGAAACGTTTTATTTGCTGATACTTTCTTTTCAGCAAAACTTATGTTATTCATCTCTTGGTTGGACAAGAGAGTTTTCTGACGTTTTTATATTATTATTTTTTTGTTGCAGTCGATGCCAAGATCAAAGAGACTTTGGAAGAAGTATTGAATGGCCTGAACCTTCTTATTGCTCCAGGCAAATAGCTAGTTATGCTAAGGCTATTTATGACAGGTATATTTGCTCGTTATCTATATTCACCACGTGCAATAACAACATTTAAGATTACATCATAATCAGCAAGATTAGATATCTCGATCCATCATCATCATCATCATCATCATCATCATTATCAGATTAGTATCAATAGTATGTCATCAATAATATCATAATCATGCATCCATATACGTTTACATCGGATTAGGTGGTGGGCCTACAAACTCATCTCTACAATCCCGGACGACCAGATGGACGAAGTGATGCTCAAGTGCTCTGCCTACAGCTGTTTGAACAAGCAAAGGAAGTCATGGGGTTTGCGAGATAGATGGCATGGCGACTACTTGTCTATGGTAAAACTGCACACTTTCTGATTCATTCAAAAGTAGAAAGTTAAAAGAAGTATAGTGAYTCCAGGAGGCCAAGAGTGCGCGTGTCCCTCATTCCTGACATACACCTTATTTCAAAAAAGATTGTCGGGAGATAGGTGATATGTCAATCCAAGACCAGAAGGATTTTTGAGCATACGATCSAAACACGAATAATCGAGGTGTTTAAAATGGTTTCGYGRACTACAAACAACACTAGCTAAATACAACAATACTAACYCCCGTGTTCTGACGACAAGAATAATATATTTTACCACATTYGTGAATTTTCTCGCTTTCTGATTGGTTAGAGCCGGGGAAGACAGGACATACCAATAAATTACGTCAGCAAATCACGCGCTCGCTTGAACCCTYTTTATTTCAAATTTTACCCTTGTTTTCCAGTAAAATTGTTAATTTTGTGTGGAAAACAATTTCGTCAGGTGGTATCCTCTTATTTACCTGGACTCAAGAGGCGTAGCCGAGGGAGTCCACATCGTATTTTGACGGCTAGATGACGAAAATCGTGGTAAATAAGAGGGAATACCAAGAAAAACTGGAGAAAATTGGCAACATATTTTGCTATATTATTAAAGAGTTTTATCAAGAGAAAATGAACTAAGAGAAGGAATCCCCCCTATATAGCCTTGTAACCATCATGTGCACAGTTTGATGCTATTTTTAAACCATTTGTTTTTCTGCACGCGCATTTACTGCGCGCGCTCTACGCTGTTTTCTCGTTTTTTTGGGTTTTTCCGTTATTTCGCGCGACTCTACACTGAATATAAATGTGCACGTCGAAAGCTTGGCAAATACGACARGAAATTGAAGTAGTAATTTGTTCAAATTTCTACATCGTCATCTTGAGGGCAGATTTGAACATTTGAACATAAGAAAAGCACAAGAAAACGTTAGCAAACAGCGTAGAGCGCGCGCGTACTATGCGCGTGCAGAAAATCAAAAGATCAAATAAATGATATCATTGGATGATATTTTTAGAATAGATTCTAAAAATAGCATCAAAGTGTGCACATGATGGGGCACGGGGATTCCTTCTCTTAGTTCATATTCTCTTGGTTTTATACATTCTTTTAGTCCAACGAGGGATGTGACCGTGCTTTGTACCAGAAGGCGTTGCCACCATCGACTCATATTATTCACTTCTCATCGTTCTCAAGGAAGGTCAGTTACTGAGTGCGAACTTTTATCGCGATACCCTGAAACAACCCCTGGGCTCAAAGGCTGGGCTTCGCTAACTGACAGATGGAATTGAAATTTAGGTTTTTGGGTTTAGCAGAGGGAGAAAAACCAGACAACTGGGAGAAACTAACTAGAGACAAGGCTGCGTTCATAATGTATAGCAGAGGGGAGGAGGGAGGTGAAATTGAGGGCGATCGGAAAACTTTTAGTAGGAAAAAGGGGCAGATGGGCAAATTTTTATCAGAAAGGGGGGGGGGGGGGGGATGCACAATTTTTGGAAGAAGCTACTACAAGCCTGGCTTCGGGGGGATGGTATGACTTTAAGGGGAATGTATGACTGGTATGACTTTAAGGAGAATTATTTTGGACATTTCAAATTTTCACCTGCCATACATTATGAACACAGCTTAACCAGGCTAACAAGACTATACATCTGTTTAAATCAATTAAGATCAACAAGCACAACAAAATYGTGAAGAGAATCCTTGTTCTGACCGAAAAGTTTATCTTCAAACTGGAACCCGAGAAGTACAAAATCATGCGAAAAATTCCATTGGAGAAGGTAATGAAATGTGATCATCCAACATGGCTGCCACTTTTATCATCAYCAAACATGACCGCCACTTTTATTCCCTTAGGAATGATTATAACCCACCTATAGTGGGCATAATCCAACATGGCTGTCACTGTTATTCCCTTAGGAATGATTACAAACCACCTATAGTGAACATCATCCAACATGGCTGTCACTGTTATTCCCTTAGGAATGATTACAAACCACTTATAGTGAACAGCATCCAACATGGCTGCCCCTTTTACTCCCTTTGAAATGAATACATTGTACAAACCACCTAGCATAGTGAACATCATCCAACATGGCTGCCACTTGAATGCATATTGCCGATAGTAACTTAATTCAACCTGGACGGTATTTCATTTACTTTTTCTTAGGTCACAGGTCTCAAAATTTCCAACGGAAAAGACCAGCTGATTGTAATCCAACTAARAGATCGCAACGACCTCGTGGTTTGTCTTTATAACAAACCAAAAGCTAATCGTGTGGTCGAACTGATGGCCAACATCTACCTTCAAGTTTTTCAGTAAGTCTTTGAATTAATGATATAGCTTGATATGATCTGATTTCCTGGCTCATTAGTAATTGTGAATGCTCTGACATTGAAATGAGGCAAACCCTAAGTAACCCTAAGCCTCTATAGGTAGGGAAGGTAATTAGCTATAATGCAGTATTTCTCATTCCCATCTCCATCTTTACAGATTGTATGGAAGGAGTGTGCCAGTCACAGTGAGTGACGATCTGGATTGCCAATTGGGCAAGAAGACCAAACGACTAGAAATTCAAAGTGCCCCAAGCGACTCCACGGCAAACTTCAAACCAGCTGGCAACRATGGCTTCGTTTTGATGTGGCCAAAGTCTAGTAAAAACAAAAAAAGGTCTTGAATACCAACCGACAAAACCACTTCCTCCATCACTTTTGTCTTTTGATGTTAATCGCTGAAATTGTCAACGCTGTTCCTAGTTTTTCACGTATCGATGTAAAGCAGTATTTACAAAGAACCGTCACGTGCTCCATCCCGCCATGTTGAATTGGAAGCTGGASTCATTGGAAAAATTTGCACTTTTTTAAAATTTTATACACTGATTTACGAGTAAGCTTTGTACCATCAACTAAAATATCAGGTCTAGGATTTTGGTATCGAGGTGCAGGCTAGTAATGATAGGCGCAAATCAGTTGAGGCTTTAGTTCAGAGTAATSTCTTGCGATCGGACATAATAGTTCCCGGCACATTTCCAAAATATCCTTTCATAGAAAGAGGGTATCCAGTGGACCTCCGCTAGATCTGCCAATAAATTAGAATGCATATTTTTTGGTCAATATTGCTGAAATTACCATATCACGAGACTTGTTGGAGCAAGTAAGTTTGTCYTTCATTCACTTCATGACCCAGCAAAAGAAAATACGATTTTTTAAAAAAAGTTTTAAAACGTTTAAATTGAAATACAGCGAAATAATAGTATCACATGAGTAATCATAGGTAAAAAAAATCTTAACGTTCTAATTCGCTGCGCTCAAACGAACGTAAATTATTTCTAATGATTACCATAGCAACTGCTAACGATCAACTCTAATCATGCAATGTTAAAATTCAAATCCACCACTTGTAAAAGTGTCTATATATTTACCATGCAAAATATTTATCGTATATTTTTGTTAATTTGGTATTAATAACGTTTATAAGCCACGGCGACATGTAGAATAKAGTAAGATCAACATTTCCTWAAGGCCGGTTTAGAYGGTACGATTTYCGCCTACWACTATCGTATACAACAYGCTCGCGTCTKTCGTAGGCGAGTTGTAGGCTGTGACGCTACGACTCGAGTTRTAGGATGGCGCGAGCGTGTTGTATACGATAGTTRTAGGCGAAAATASTACCGTCTRAACCRGCCTTTACAACGCACTAGCGTATGACTTTCTATTCTRTTCACTATGAAGGAGTCAGAGAACTTAGATGGGTTGCCTGTGTAGYTTATTTTTACCGGGGTGGTCATATCATGACTCAGACTAAGGTCCTCTCCCTGACAAGATACAGGCATTTCATCCTAGTGAAGCTTAAGGTTTTCACTACATTTGTATAATCGATGAGAGGCACAAAGAAATCTAGATCTAGTTTTAATTTTAGATACAGGATATTATATGTTTTTTAAAGAAAATACTACAATAAAATTAATTTCTGTTTGCGACGAGTTTTATTAGAATCTTTAATACCGTGGGTTTACAACTCAGCATAACAATAGTGATGACGTCGATATAACGAACAATGAAATAAATCACTGGGCAATTGTTTTGGGGAGAGAAATTATGGTTAAAATCCACCCTTTTATAGACTACCACACCACACCATATCATACCATGCCACACCATACTATACCATACATGCTATATACAACAACATACCATACAATACCATATATAATACCACACCATATTACACCAAACCACTTCATATCATTCCACACTATATTACACCAAGCCACTTCATATCATACCATACCATCAAGAGAAATGAACTAAGAGAAGGAATCCCCGTGCCCCATCATGTGCACACTTTGATGCTATTTTTAGAATCTATTCTAAAAATATCATCCAATGATATCAATTATTTGATCGTTTGATTTTCTGCACGCGCATAGTACGCGCGCGCTCTACGCTGTTTGCTAACGTTTTCTTGTGCTTTTCTTATGTTCAAATGTTCAAATTTGCCTCAAGATGACGATGTAGCTCGAAAGCTTTGGAAAATAAATGTAAAAATATTCCAGAAAGTTGAACAAATTAAGACTTCGATTTCTTGTCGTATTTGCCAAGCTTTCGACGTGCACATTCATATTCAGGGCAGAGTCGAAATAACGGAAAAACCCCAAAAACGTAAGCAAACAGCGTAGGGCGCGCGCAGTAGATGCGCGTGCAGAAAAACAAATGGTTTAAAAATAGCATCAAACTGTGCACATGATGGTTACAAGGCTATATAGGGGGAATTCCTTCTCTTAGTTCATTTTCTCTTGATACCACACCACACCACACCACACCACACCACACCACACCACACCACACCACACCACACCACACCATAGCATGGCATCGCCTTTAGCGTGGGATTGGTGACTTGATGTCTAAGTGATTGTGGGCTAATGATGTGATACAAGTGATTGGCGTCCGATTGGCTCGGCTGGGCACGAGCGATATATTCGAGGGGGCAAAATTCGAACCTTGAGGCACGACCATCATTTAATCGATATTATGAAATAGTTAGATTTTCAAAAGTTAGGTTTTTTTTGGAAATAGATCGCATTCATTCACTCAAATTCTCGGACCTCTTGCAAAAGCCCGAGGGCTTAAWCTGTGGAAACACTGAATGTAAAATGTGGAAAATAATGGAAGGTTAATGAGAGATCGATAAACATGGAAGTAATTGAGAATACGTGGATGTTTGCAAAAACCATTCCAAAGGTCCATCAACTATTATTCCTCTGTTAACATTAATAGACCGACTCATCGATCAAAATCAAGAAACTCCATCGCCATTTTTCTCGACGCTAGAAWATTCAGAGCCAATCAGCAAATCTGTTTTCATAGCCACTCAATATTTCCTAATAAAACAGTCTGAGTTCTGGCTTTGACTCGATTGGCTACCACTTTAACTCGAAAAAGAAGCCAGAATCACAAGCTTAGAAAAGATAGAAAATTCATCCATTATTGGTACAAATGATGTTTAAATGATTAGGATCTTAATATTACTTATTAATGACCAAAACAGTAATTTCTGATGATTTTCGAAAATGTAAAAAGACAGAAACGCACGATTAGAAAATTCTAGTTTGCATTATGCATGACAAATGATGCTGGTTTTAGAACGGCATTCCACTTTTAAGGGTGCTTTTGAAATGGTGTCATAGAGAAAAAAARGGGAAACGTCGTTATTCTATTAATTTTTGATGTTTTTATGCCGTGAAACTTCATAAATTATAA